ATTGCTGACAATATTAATTAATTAAACATTATATTCTAGTAAAAGAAAGATGAATTTAATCTCTACTATAAATTTATATCTTTTTTATTTTATTTTTATTTTATTTTTTAAAGCTAAATATTATAATAAACTTTTTACAATTTTTTTGATTCTTGTTGTAAATGGTGATATTGTGAGGTATCATTTCGGTTAATTAACAATTATGGCTTAACTTTTTGGACCATTCTTGTCAGTTAATTGCAAATAATTCAGTGCTTGTTGATTAATTAGTTTACAAAATTTACTTTGGTTCCCTCTTTCTTTCATCTAATCTGTGAACGCACTTGATGGTACCAGATAACTGTAAATAAATAAAGTGGCCTTTTTGCAATGCTATAGAGTTCTTTTTATTCACTTGCGATCGATTTTTACCCTTATTGGCCAATTGCAAATTTGCTTTGGTTTACTTGCAAAACAACACAAGTAGCTTAAATTTACGATTACGATAATACTACTTCATTAACACCCGCTAGCCTCATCTATCTTACCCTTTGTTGATACCAATGTAACCAAAGAATTATAACACCTTCTACATAATAATAATATTAAATGTTTTAGAATAATAATAAAATTTCTTGTATTTCAACAATAATTTGCTTCAAAAGAAAATGTCTATCATTATAAAATAGTTTCAACAAAAATTGAAGTTTCGGCAACAAATTATAGTTTCGGCACAGTGATTGAGTTTCGGCAAACTGAGTTTCGAACTATTAGTTTCTATAACCTTTTTTTTCCCGAGTTTCGACATCATCACAATTTAGTTTAGGCAAGCTTCTATATATTACATGGAGCTTGAATATTTATTACACCCCACATACCAATGCTACAATGAGATCCTTCACTACAATAGTAATACAGTGCACCACTCTCCTGAATTATATTGGTGGATTGACTTTCGAATCGAATACATCTGTTTTTGTTGATCTCGTGCATGATTTTTAGCTGTCTGATTGAACTACGTTGTGTGGAATATTTGGATTAACAAATTTAAATATTACCTGATAAAAAAGAAGATAAAGGAAATAGTTGGTGTGAACAAACAAGCAAATAATATCTATTCATCAATCTGTATACTTACTACATCTCCATTTGAAAATGTGACCTTTTGTGACACAAACTTTAACCCACCTTTACCGAGCGAGAGATTACATTAACAGTAGTGATAATCAATAATACTATAATTAAACCATGTTTAAACATTATCATTTTTTTTAATAAATTTTTTTTGTTGAGAAAGGAATTTTTTTTTTAAAAGGCAAAAATTGAGAATCAAAGTATTATAAGGTTTTTTTTTTTTTTAATATTTGTAATTTAACCAGTAAACATTCTTCGTGATCGGTTTTCTTTTTTGATTTATAAAAAAATATAAATTTGCTTATTTTATACGTATCATATCACCAGAAATCCTTTTCAGAAAAAACTTGATATTAAATCGAATTTACAATAATAAAATAAATGGGCAAATAATAATAATAGTAACACTAACACAATATTATACTAAAATAATAATAAGACAAGTTTTGTTGTGAATGAGTATGGATGGCCTTGTGTAAGTTTGTAGTTGAAGCAAAAATATGCATGCTATCTTTTAATGATAATTTATTTAAATGTGTCTAATTAATTATTTTAATCGAAGGGTGGCAGGCTAGCTTTAAATTAACTGTAGGTTAATTGGGGTGTGATTATGTAGAGCTTTTAAGGCTTCACTTTAGCATAAAAAAAGCAAGATAATAACAATAAGACCATGCATGGTTCTTTTGTGAAATAAATTAAAATTTTTTTATTCATTTACAATATTTATTAAGGGAGAGTTTAACGATTCGAAATTTTTATGTTTACATACTTGTCTAATTCCAGTGATATCTTCGAGTTTGATTAAATGCATTTTTACATTACAACTTGAACTTGAAATAATATTTCTATGATTATGATCATTATTACTATCGATAATTTCAAGTCGGGCTCCTTCATCTGTAAAAATTGAGCTATCCGACCAGTTCTAAACTTGCTTCAATTGTTAAATTAACGTCAGATTCTCCACTATTGTACTGTGTGATAAGTTTAAACTTGTTTGTCCAGTGATATTTCCTTTATCACTTTTGCCACCTTTAAATCATTTTCAATATTTACAGTTGCTTGAATGCATGTATCATAAAGCTTGTCCTTCCGATAGAACCAAAACCATCTAATTTCATCTGGACAAACTATGCACTCATTCGACATGTTTTGTGAGAACCCCCTGTGAGATCTATATTTTTTTTTACAGCATATTCTGCTAATTTTCCAATAAAGAAAAAGTCCATATAGCGTCAACACTTTCTTGAAAATTTTCTAATCGTCACTAAAGATACTGGCTCAAGACTCTCGAGTACCACTTTTAGTAATCCTTGCCAAGAATGATCATAATTTTCACACAATGTCTACCCCAATATCTCCCAATGAAGTTCATTCAACTCACAATGGAACTCAATGGAACTTGAGAGAAAAAAATACATTTATGACCTGATTTCATAATTAATTCTTCAATTCCTCTCATTTGTTCATCAATTAATTAATATAATAATAACTAAAGATTTAATATTAATTATTAAAATCGCGGCAAGTAATTCATTCATTTATTGGTAAGAATTTCTCACATGATAAAAAAGGTGGAATGATCGGCAGTTGATTCAAACAATTAGTTATTTACGAAAAAGAAAAACACAAAATATTTATAAAAACCTGTAAGCTCCGATCAAATAGTCAAAAGTGTGTTGGAAAAAATCGTCAATTACTTGACCATTACTGGCAAAAATTGCGCCTATCTACAAATTTGGATTCCGGTTATAAAGATCTAATGTAAAAATAATGAGCTAAAAAGAAAACTGTAACTATTCTCAAAGAAAATACAATAAACTAACTTTCAAATTAAAGAATCACTCGAATCATCAATTAAAAAGCAAACATTTACAATAAAAGAAGATGCAATTTTTAATACACTTTTTAGGAACTGAAATCAACAAAACAAAAAAAAAAGTAAATGGGGTTGAGCCCAATACTCCCTTTTAAGTGATGGAATGAGAATAAACAGAGATTTCCTGTCTTAGCAATATTGGCGCGTAAATATTCCAGCCACTTAAGTCCCCAGAGAGTGGCTTTTTTCGGATGCTGGAAATCATATAACAAGTAAACGCACAAAACTTAAACCAGAGAGATTCTTTTTGTAAAAAGAAATTCAAACTATGTGGATATATTTACATTGCTTGACAATGAGTTGAAACGTTATTTTAAATAAAGTACTAACATTTTTAATAAATCTAAATTTATTGTGAAGGCATTCCAAAATTTTCAAATGTAATGCAATAATGGAGATTTTAGCATGTCTCATTTCATATACAGACATAGGGATGTCAATTTGCATAATTAAACTGGGTTTAAACACAAATTCAATTTAATATTTTTAATATTCGCTCGGAACGCGCTTCAATTTTTGTTTGAAGCATGCGTTCAAGAAAATTAACGAATAAATATTAAAAGAGACAAATCTGAAGCTAACTAAACCCGTTTGAATAATTTAGCTCTAAATAGCATAGGAATATTTATATAACTAACTATATTAATATTAATATTATATTTAGAATTTATTAAAAATTAGAATTTTTATTACATATTTTTTTTTATTGTTTTACATAAAAAATAATAATTAGTGAGTGGTATGCTCCTGATTAGCCGCTACAAACCAAACAATTTTCTTGATTATTGAGTGAACAAGAAATTAGATTTGAAGCTAGTAATTTGTCATCACTGTTTTTATATTCTTCATCAGCTGCTTTTGATTCTTTTAATGCTGTTTGATCAACAGTGAACTATAAAAAAAATGCA